TGTGTGTGTGTGTGTGTGTGTGTGTGTTCCCGATCTACTCATCTGCTGCTGTGATGATGCTGTGCGACGTAGGCTACAAGGGTGTGCGTGTGTGGGGCGGGGGGGGAGATTAATACTGTATGAGGAACAAACAGTGCCACAGAAAGGCGGAGGGAGGGACTGAAGCTTCACCTTTACTGTTTGCATCTCACTGTTGACGTAGAAGCTTTTACTTAAATAAAACATTAAATATTTTAGTACCTCATAACCTAGAATGAAATTGTCATGCAGAGGTTTTATATAAGTGCACACACTGTTCAGGGCAGTGCACAGTTGCTGTCTCTCTGAGCCCTTTGTGCAGACTCTCCCTAAATTGGCAGTTTTGCAGTCTTTGCCGAAAGTAACTAGAGGAACGTCGGTGTTGTAAGGTGATTAAAAACAAAAGTGAATGGCAATGTAAGAATGAACCAATCCCAGTGTAGACGTTACAAATACAATTATAAACATAATTATATCTCCTGGCTGATTATTACCTAGAATTAAGGTAGTCCATTTTTTATTTTGACAGAGGTCAATAATATTGGCAGCACCAAGACGGTGTGTGTGTGTTTGTGGCGTGTTGCAAGCGTCAACATCTATTACGAGAAAATGAAAAGAAAAAAAAATGTTCAGGACCTAAGAAAGTGCAGTGTCGGATTTGGTTAAGTTCTTTGCGCAGCAGCGGTTCTTTACTTCAGATTAACCCTTTGGTGGGTTTTTTGGATCAGTGAAATAGCGGTTTGAGTGTGGCACCAACAAGCCCTCATACACTTCCGCTTTCATCTCCTCTCCCTGCCGCTGTGTGGCATGAATCGCCCTCCCTCCATGTGAGTGGGCTGCAGGAGGAACCAGCTCCGTCATCGTGCGCGCTGCGGAGAGATGCGGCGGCGCACGGTGAAGCATCAGCGGTGGAGGAGCTGATGCGCAGTGACCGAGACACGGAGCAAACACCCAGGGCTGTGCTGGGCCTCTGAATCCAGGCGATGGGACGGAGCTGAAAGGCATCGGACGGGTTGGTTGTGCAGCAGCGGCAGCGGAGGGGCTGGTGGTGGTGGTGCAGGCCGAGTGGACGGATGATCCTGAGCCCAGAGAAGGATGCTCCATCTCCAGGGAGGGTTGAACAGGCTCCTGTAAACAATGAGGAGGCAGAGAGGAGGACTCTTCATCCACAGCCTGAGGAGACACTGAGGTGAGAAAAGGCTTCTTCCTCTCAGGTTGTGCTGGTTTGACTCCTCTTCATCACAGGTGGCTAAACCTGCTTACTCGGTCACTTTTTGTAAAATCCTCTCAGCTGTGTGGGCATGAGCAGTGGGTGTTCAGAGGATTACAGTCACCTGTGTTTTCATCTTCAGTCCCTGAGATGATTCCGTGGCTGATGCAACGAATCATCTAACCGGCACCGTGATGGACGCATTTGGATGGATGCATTTATTTTCGAAATCAAACTGAGGCCTGTTTGTGTAGGAGTGGAGCCACTTGGACTCAAACGTTTGACCTCTGACAAACTCCCTCCTCCACAAACAAATGAGATCCATGAGTCAGTCTGAATCAGTCATTTAAAGTCTCTTTGACGTTTCTGTCTTCTCTTCCTGATGCCATCCTCACGATATCAAAACACTTTGCTGCTGTTTCATTGTGAGCACACGTCACATTTTTTCCATCAGACTCCTGATTTCCCTGTTTTGTCCCCTGCAGGTTGTTGTGTGACAGCTGAGTCAGTCCACAGTGACGAGAGGCTCTGAAGACGCCGTTACGGAGTATCGTGGGGGGAAACCTCTCCTTATTTTCAGCGCTGACAGCTCAACGTCTGACCTGAGCATTTCTTCTCTTCATCAGAGGATCTGGAGCCGCTCCAGCTCCCTTTCACAAAACAACTGACTCTGATTTACTTGTTTCTTGTCCAAAACCTCCAGTTGAGGTTGAACTGTTAAGGTACAAGATTAAGTGGAGTCACTTATCTCCTGCAACTAAGAATTTTATCTTGAGAGGATTTCAGCTGTTTCATGATGCCCTCTGTGTTTTCGCAAAACCTTTTTACTGTTGCTCTGAATCTAGAATAGATTCCTGATAGTGGCAGCTTTTCCTCTCACCGATGAGAATTCGACCTGACGGGCTGAATTTTAATAAAGGATAAGTGAGGACAAACTGATACAACATAGATGAGGCCAACAACGAGCATCATGCTCCAGCAGAATAACAACAACAACTACCCCTGTCTGAACGTGTCAGGCTCCACCCGGGAGATGCTCCAGAAGTGCTCCAGAGCCTCCCTGCCCTTCCCCAGCCGCCTGGAACTGGGTCTGGGAGACCTGCCGCTGATCAGGGGCCTCCGAGCTTGGGCCCTGTGCTCAAAGAACCGCTGCAAAGCTGGTGGTCTTCTGGGAGGAGGTCAGGCCCCCCTAGCTCCACTCACAGGCCACGGGGGCTCAACTGCCGGCCCCCGGCCTGCAGATGTGCACCTGAGTGGGGAGTGGGGTCGTATGGGGTATGGTCTTCCCTTGGGGGTGGATACCAGACAGGCTGGGATTGGAGCTTTGGTAACGGTCGCCACTCTGAAGACCTCAGAGGGCAGTGGGAAGACGCAGACTCAGTGCCTCTTCCTGCGGACTGAGAAAGGAAGCTGTTTATACTCAACCGCTAAACCTGGTTCTGGGAGTGCAAGCGGTGCAGTGGCCTCAAGCGGGGTCGGAGGATGGCTGAGAGGGAAGACAGGAGTCGGAGGCAGTGACGCTCTAGCCGGGAGGAGGGACAATGGGTCAAATCTGCCGGCACAGACTGGAGCAAACCGGGTTAGAGTGCGTTCAGGCCGGAGATGGAGGAAGTCTGGTAACGCAGCTGGCCATGAGAAAATGGGCGTGAGCAAAGAGAGGCAGCAGAGGAGCAGGGAAGGACCTGCAGGAGAAAGACAGGAAGAGCAAGACAAAGGAGGTCTGCACAGTGAACAGTTTCCCAGCATGCAGCAGGATGGCCGGAGAGCCAGGCAGGAGAAAGAGAGAGAGAAAGAGGGAGTTTGCAGAAGTCCTAGATGCTGCCACAGTGTTTCTCCTAAAACTCAGAGTGGAAGGATAGTGCAGAGAAGGGAGAGCCAGGAAGAGAGCAAGGGAGGTGAGAGTCCGAGGAGAGAAGATGTGAGAGGAATGAGGAAGGAGAAGCAAGAGGAGGAAGGAGGCCCCTGTGAGTTACAGTCCCTGGATTCTGTTTTGGCTTTGGCAAACCCTGACCTAGAATCTAACTGCCTTCACCCACAATCCCCCAGTGGCTGTGATGGTGAAGAGATTAGAGAGGCCGACAGCAGTGAGGAGCCGAAGACGCAAACCACTCCCAGGATGCACTGCTGTTCAGAGGAAGAGCAGGATTCAAACTCTGAGATTCTGAAAACACGTAACGAAAACAATGATATCATTCACGTCCAGTCTGGACTCAGCGGAGGTTTTAATGACAGAGAACCAACTGAAAATCCATGTGAAGACAAAGTGGCTAATGTAAATGGATTTCCTGATTGTGCAGAAGCAGATGAAGACAGGGAGAGAGCTGAAAGTAAAGAAGAGGAAAGGAGTGTCTGTCAGACTCCTCCTGAATTCACAGTTGTCTCTGACTGCTACAAGGACGTCTCTATCTACACCCGTCCTGTCTCCATTAGTGCTGCAGTGTCCCCTGAGGCCTCTACTCCTGCAGAGGGCAGCATCTGCCCTGCTGACCACCAGACTTGTTGGGTTGAAGGAGTACAAGAGAAGAGCCGAGCAGAGCACCCAGAGTGGCATCATGAAGGGGACTCAGGCATTGTGGGTAAAGAAGAGCTGGATGTTGAGTCTGATGAGAAGAAGGCTGTGAAACCTCAGCTCTTCTGTAAACATGAGGAAAACAGCAGCCAGGTGGAGGAGAGAGAAGCTTCATATTCCCTTCTCTGTCTCAAATATCCTTCCATCTTTGAGAGTGAAACAGAAAACAGATGCAACAGTCGGAGAAGTGAAAATGAGCAGAGAGTGGAGCTGGAGTCAGAGGAGAAAAGAGAGGAGACGCTGAATCCTGAGGAAGGTGAGGAGATCAGGGGGAGGGAGCTGGACATTATCAGCAATGAAGGTGATGATGAGCACACAAGGGAAGAGACAAGCGTTAGCGACGCACTGATGGACAGTTATAAAGAAGTGGAGAAGAACTGTGCAGCAGAAGATGAGCAGAGGCGACAGGACTCTGCAGACGGATCCAGAGGATGGAGGAAAAACCATGGAGACACCTGCAGCGTCACCCATCCTGAGGAGAACCGCGAGAGCAGCACTGACCTCCCTAATGTCGCCTGCTCTGATCCCCCCACCTTTCTTGCAGCCTCCCCGGCTAATCCTGACCCCTCTCTGCCCCCCCTGGGATCCGTGGCAACCAGCCTACCCTGTCTGGAGGAGGAGGAGGTGCTCAGAGCGCCGGCCAGAGACGGAGTTCAGGAAGGGACGAGGCGGTGCAGGAGAGAGCTGGAGGAGGAGAGGGGTTCCACCGTGGCCACTGCAGACAGGAGGAAGGAGGAGGAGGAAGATGAGTTTGGAGTGTTCATGCAAGCGGACGGAGAGCTGGCCTGGAGCGAGGGGGTCACCATGTCTGCCTCAGTGCCTTGTGGGAGCAGAGCGAGTGCTGGTGAGTCTCATCATTGTTGTTCTCTCTCCACTGTCAAGCCCTCCCCCTCTCTCTATCTCTCCCTCTTTCTGTCTCTCCCTCTTTCTTTCTCTCCTTCAGCGTTTCTCTCGCAGCTGTAGTTCAGTCAGTCGACATGTGACAGAGGAGCTTTGGTATAAGTTGACAAGCCTGACACTGAGCGGCGTCAGAAGCCGAGCACAGACTTTGAAATATGTCAGAAAAGCACATTTAAAGACATGAAAACATCAGCAGCTTCTGTGTTGCTGAGCGTGAGTCACGATACATTAGTGCAATGTTAACCTTTTGTACAGTTTCAGGAATGTGTGTGCATGTGCTCAGGTTTAAAGGGCCATGCCAGTGAGTTTGCAAGTTTTAGCCCTTTTGCTACAACCAGTGCAGTGGCCGTTCTAAGCCTGCCTGTTTGGAATGGGCTGTTTGTTCGACCTGTGGTGATGCTGGTGCAGTTTTCTGTCTGAATCTGTAAAAGTGACCTGCTGAGCAAATAAAAACCTGCTGCTGGACAGAACCTGAAGTAAAGAGCTGCTGCTGCTGCACAAAGAGATGTTGACCTGTTTATTCAAAGTTCAGTGAAGCTCGACTCTGGACATTCAGTCTTCGTTGCTGCTGTTGAGTCGTTTGTTTATTCAGAGTTTTGAATATTGAACTTGTCCAAATTGCACCAAATGTGTTCTATGTGAGATTTGTGAGCCACTACGGAGTTTACCCAGAGTTTGTCTTTCACACATGCACAACACAGGGGGAGGTTTTCTGCACAGACGCGTTCACAACAGCATCGAATCCTCTGTGGAGCACCTGGGTGCAGCAGACAGACACAGGAAGTGACGTACTAACTCCATGGCGGAGATCACGTGATCATGTTTACAGCATCATCATGAGCTCTTATCACCACAAACTTTCTTGACATCTTCGTCGGTGTCTTCTAAGTGTGTGTCACGAGGAGATGATTTGTTTTCTTTTTGTTATTTCATTGTTGCATCTGTCACGTGTTAGAAGTGTCATCAACCCCCCCCCATTCACTAGCGGTGAATCCAGCAGAGGTCCGCTGCTGCGTTCAAACATCGACTTCTCCTGGATTTCTACGGACTTTATACAAGGAGGCCAGGCAGAGAAAGTCTCTAGAAACTCACACATCTACCTCCAGCTTGACAGACAGAGGTTATGAGGTGATGCACTGGAGACATTTGAAAGAAGTCTGCACTCTATTGATGTTTTGATGACAGAAATGTCGCAGACTTTATCATGATCAGGTTCATTTTTGGCAAAATCGAAATCTGTCCAAGACATTGAGACTCGAGTGATTGTTAAAGCCTCAGGAAATATGGTTTAAAATCTAAATCACATTAATGTAATGAGCAATAATCTTGTTCAAAGCTTGGTCAGATAAGTTCTTCTGTATTTTTATTAAGTTTAAGAGCCAGAAACTGATTTTGGTTTGATTTTGATTAAATTATGGTAAACTCCACATTCATACACAGTATGTTGCATCACTTTTTCCATCTGAACCCTGCCCACTTCTAACTAGGGACAAAAATCTAGAACCAAAGCACAATTTAGTCTGATGTGATGTAACTGGAACAGTTCTAACTAAAAAGAAATGTGTCTTTTTCAAATCCTGGATCTCGTTGCTCATTGAACGAAGCTGATTGCTTTCAAACACTCTGTCGTGACCTAACGACTTCAGTCTCTTTCACAGTGCATGAACTGGCACTTATTCAGTCCCTCTGACACATGTATGTGGCTGTTTGGCATCTGTGTGTGTTTGTGCCTTTTTGTTTTTCTCTCAGTGTTAATGAGTCGTTATGTTCCCTCATTATGCTGCTTTTAGATAATCACCTAGAAGCCCAGTTTCCTCTGCAGGGCTGAACAAGGCTAAGCTGAGGTTTGCTCATTATTTAGATCATCTCAGCTTATCAACATAAAAAAAATATTTTATTTCTGAAGGCTTATCAGAGGAGGATTTATGAGGTGCTGTCAGAAGTGTGCTCTGGAGTTTTCTGCAAGTTGTAACTTCACTAAAATATGAACCTCTGCACTTTCAGGGAGTTGGTTGAATTTTTGGAGATTGCAGATTTCCCAATTTCTTTGGTTTAAAGTAGTTTAAATATCAGTTTTCAGTGATACATTTTATTCATCTCAATGTCACTGACTTTAAGGCAGAAATAACTTAGCTCCATGTTTACAGATTTGTCAACATTCAACAAAATTCAGTGTGACGCTCACTGCTTTCATGATTTGAATGTTAAATAATGTTTGTCCTAGTTACATTATTATGTCTGTACTGTAGTTTAATGCAGATCAATACATTAACCCTTATTTAACATTGATGTACCTGAACCATACGGTATGTCACTTTGGCTGCTAGGGGTCTCTCCATCAAAGCAATAACGAACAACCTACTTTGGACTGAAACTGCACTGGTTGGCGGAGGAATGAAACTACAGGGCAGCAGTTCTTGTTAGAAACATTATAACTGGGATGTTGCTGGGGTGCTATTTTGAACTGTGTGTGTCTGTGTGTCGGGAAACAGCCAGGGAGTCGACCCAGTGGACGCAGGGCTGGACGGACAGCAACTTCCACCAATCAGATGATGCCTGGACAGCCTTTCCGTCGTCAGATGAAGGACGAGACGTTGCGGGACAGTGGTGGCCGACCAGCGCTGTGGAGGCGAGGAGAGACAGGCCGTCGGCCAATCAGAACCTGGTACGGTTGTTTCCGTGTTCATACGTCCAATAGGTGCTTGTTTGCATGCAGGCAAATTGCTTGCATACTTTTGCTGAAAATGTATCATGTCTCCTTTAAAACAATAATACAGTAGCCACCACTCCACCGTTACCGTGGAAACAGCTGGACGTGACACAGCCCTGGGGATTAGGTGACGAAGTTTTTAAAATGAGTCAGTATTTTGTCCACGTGTCTGATGTCTTATTCAGATTATTCTGAGCTGTCAGGGTTTTTTATTTTCCTCATTGGACATTAACATTTAACTGAGAGAGAAGATGCAGATTTAGCTCTGTCCAAATCCTGCAGAGTGTGAGTGTTGGGTTCTGTTTGCTCAAACTGCCATGAAAGTCAATCTGTGATGAGCAGCTGGAACTTTTCTGCAGTTTTTGAACTTATTCAAATTTCTTATCTTTCTAATCTTTTATTCAATGTCTGCGTCACACTGGAAGATAATCAGGCTGATTCGGGGTCAGATTCAGGCTTTCTTGCTGATTCAAAGCTGATTATGTTGTCAAATGATGGTTTTAGTCTGATGCACTCACAGACAATTTTAATGTAACTGGAAAATCCACAAATTCGAATCCTAGAACTCAAACGTGTTTGAAATTTACAATTTGAATCAGGGAGATTTGTGTAGTGTAAACAGCGACTGGACGAAACCCACAACCAGATGTTGCGTTCTGGTGTCAAGAGGACTACAGCGTAAATAAGACTTTTGTTTCCCGCACCAGGAGGACGGTGGAAAAAAACAAACGTGCAGAATTGTGGCAACAGTATGTTTGAGAGAAAATCCTGTTTTTTGCAAAACTTCACACAAACTTGTGCAACCTGCCGCCTCCATCTTTGTTTTTAGTTCACGGTCACAGAAGCACGAATGTGAAGCGAGTATGGATGGTCGAGTTCACCAAAGTTGAAACCACGCGTGAAGTCGACCTGCGTTTTCACTCACCATAGGAAGCAAATGTTTTATTCATGCGTATGTGTGACCAGGCCTTTATTCTGAAGTTGATCATATGAGTTTCTGTGAGTTTCCAAGTCTCTGGAATTTCCGCTCAGAAATCGTTGTGTGCGTTCTTGCGATTAAATTATTAAAAGTAATTTAATCTGTCATTATGTCTGCGGACTGTCACATTTTTAAAACCAGGTAAGGTTTGAAAATCTTCTCATGCGCAGCAGGCAGAAGAAAACATCAGTGTTATTCTCTTCTGTCTCTCTGATGTTTCTCTCTGTGCATCTGTCTCCTCTGCAGACATCTGTCTTCACTGAGGCCTTTCCCTCATTGCCGGGCTCACCGCCATGTGACTTCGACACTGTTCCCACCCTGACCCAGCTCCTCAGGGGCAGAGCCAGCCAGGACCAAGGGTACGTAGACTTCTTCTTCTCCACCGGGTCCACTTCATGTTTGGTTACATAACCAGATCGTTTTGGTTTCCTGCAGGGTTTAGCGTTTGTTTGAACTCATTTCTGCAGTTTTTAGATGATGAGATATCAGAAGCCACTGGAACATCTACATGATCTGCTTATAATTAGCTTGAAGAGAATGAAGGATTCTGAATTTCATGAGCTTTCATTTAAAAACAATTTGATTTCTGTGCAGTGTAATAGGATGTAATAATCTGTTAAAATGTGTCTTCATTCATACCAGAAGTTGCTGGATGATAGCTGTATAACCATAATCATAGTGAGAGGAATCATTTTCCAGTTTTCAGTAATAAAGACACGTAGATCGTCTCTTCACCCAGAGAACAAAGGTAACAACGCAAGCTGGTGTGTCTTAAAAAAAATATCCATGCACCTTGACAGCAGGGGGATCATCCCTGTACACATGGAATGGAGTGGAGCGATAGTCTCTTCACTCAGAGAACCAAGTTTGCAACGTAGCCGAGCGTTTTAAACATTTCTACATGTGCATCAGCTCAGTTGGTTTCTGATGAACTAAGTCATGGGTCACGGGAGGAAGTGTCCAAACAAAGGCCTCATTTGAAGTGGTCACATGTGCAGCTCAGATGCATTCAATATATTAATTTGTAGCCACCAAGTGGTTAATGTGGTGAACTGCAAGTAGGAGTTAGACTAGCAGTGAGTGATTCACAATGTGTGTGATGCATGTTACGGTTTGACCATTACGGTGTCCTGAAATACTGACGTTTGTGAAGTGGAGCAGTCAGTTTTCAGTTTCATTTATAAAATAATGCTCGGCAGTCTCCTTAAAATCCATCAAGCTGCGCCAAATTGCACACACTCATAAATATCAGTCTCCTAAACATGTCTGGTTGTTTTCAACAAGATCCATGAATTATTCTCTGAGAAATCCACATCTCACAGACAAGAGATAAAACGTACCTGGATCTGCCCCCTGATCCAGATAAGCACCAAACTTGAATGGGTTCTGTTTTGACCTATTCCTCTGAAGAGTCCACATTTAAAATTAAAGGTTTAAATGAATCATGACCATATTTAAATCTTTTGTCTGTAGAAGAAAAAGTCAGTCTGTCTGTGACCTTTTTTCACACACGTCATGCAAGTGTGTAGCTGGTTTGGGTATAATGAAGAAAATGTGTTAAATATGATCAGTGCTGGGCGATATGAACACAACAGATAACAAAAGTAATGAATATTGATCATTCTTGCGATAAATGTCACATCATTGTTTCTTTTCAGTTTAAAGACTGATTTGATAAACAACAAAACATTTGACATATCTGAGGTCAATCAATAATGTGTTACACCTCCTCAATTTACCTAAATAAATACTGATATATAATGAACCTTTTATATATTGCTATTAATAAAAAACATGACAATAATTACTGATATTGTTTTATTGCCCAGCCCTTAATGTGATAAAATATAAATATGATGTTTTGACACAAAGTGCACATCTGTATTTTATAAAAAGCTATAATTTAACATATGTCCCTAATGTCATTGTTTCCTCTGTGTCCGTGTTTGATGTCACAGGTTGTTGGACGGTTTCCATGACTTGAACAAAATGATTGGTCAGAGATACAAGAGAGCCAGTGGTGTGTCTCGTGACCTGCTGCTGACGACCCTCCCACTGGAGCCGCCTCCCACCGTGAGTAACGGCTCAGCCGCATGAACAAACATGGGAACGGCCGCACGACAGAAAGTGTCACTTGACTCGCGTCACGCTGACATGTTTCAGCGTTCAGTCACAAAAGAATCGGATTTTACAGTGAATTCTCCGACACACGCGATCTCTCTGCATTTCTCTTCGTTTCATGTGAGAGCATGAACAGAGCGCTCAGTGTCCATGTGTGAGGCTTCAGGGTTTCTATGTAAAGTGATGCTGTTCGACCGATGGCCTTGAAAACTGCAGCTCCATGCAAATCATTTGACCGCTGCTGTATGCAAAAACACCGCTCACACAGAACGCGTCATATCAAACAGCTGGAAACATGTCGAAGAACCTGCAGAACTTGTGGTTTCCTCTTTAAAATGTGTAGAATGTTTATGTTTCAGTATTTTATTGGTGGATCTTGTATTTCCCCAACTTCTTCTCTGAGTTCCAGACAAAGCACCTGTTAGCTGCTCATGAATTAGCCGTTGGATGCTGATTTGTTTCTTATTTGCTAATGATTCCATCTAATCTGTCACAGAATATTATACAAATGAGTGACACAGTAAAAGTCACGAGAAGGATTATTAAATGTCAAATGTTTTAAAAGATATTAAACTAAAGTCTTTTCTTCATCAAATCAAGATTTAAAATGACAAAATGATCCATGTGTGATATGTCTCATTTATATTTCTAGTTATTTGCTTTTATTTGCTTTCTCTTTAGAGTGTCTCTGAGCATTGTTAAAAATGCTTTACAATTTATCATTATTATTTATATATATTGAGATATTATATTATTATTATATATATTATTATGTTGCTCTATGAATTTATAATTATAATTGACTGCTGTTAAATTAATCTCCCATTAAATGTGCTATAACACTAACAAATTGAGAAACTACATACTGCAAGTTTACTTTTCTTTACTTTAGTTATATATATTATCATACTTATAAAGTTAGTAAAGGATATATTCATTCAATAAAATGTCAAAAGTCAGAATTTTTGCTTCATGAATAAGATCAGATAAAACTTGATCCAGAAACCGAGGTAATTCACTTCAGTCAATTATTGCCTTTGAAATGAAGTTTCTCTCTAATCATTCATCCTGTGTGTTTTTAATCAGTGGGATGTGTAACTGTTTTTGCTTTTGTTTTATCACGACATTTGATTGTGTTTCAGGAAAGCAGACCTGCTCCCTGGACAACCAACCGGCGTCTCTCCCCCGGCCTCCCCTCGGCCAATCAGCACGTCCAGAACGCTGCCGCCAAGCGACGGCTGTCATACGACTACAACAGAAACATCATGGAGTAACTCTTGAGTTATACTTGAAGAACTGAGGGTTTTAAACCGAGCTGAGTCGGACAGATCGACCACAGGTTCATCAAGACTCTGCAACTCTCTGCTGTTTAAACTCTGATGATTTGACCAACCTGAGGCGCTGAGAAGACTGAACCCGTGAAAGTGGAGCGACGTCGTCTCCTGTTGAACTGGTGCAGAAATCTTTCATCGCACATCTGCCGTCATGTTCAACACCAACCTCCCAGTTTGATTTTCTTTTATCAACATGTTCGAGACCTGAGGGTCCAAGGTGCTCACTCACCACCGTGTTGGGGGGCGTCCACCCTCGTATTTATTCCTCCTGTTATATTATTATCTGAAAAGGTTGTTAAGTCTAAAGTTATTCAATCAAAAGTTAGAACACTCTCATTTCTCCACTTTTTAACTAACATTTAAGCAACACGTCCAGTGATTGAAGAGAAATGAAAGGCCCCATGAAATGAAACATACAGTTTACCAGTATTCATCGAATTAATTGTTCATTTCTCACTTTTGATTTGCCGGACAGCAGCGAGTCGGCTCTTAATGGTGATTTATAAGTTTAATGTGAACGTTTTCCATTTTGATGGAAAACGAAATGGAAAAGTGTCCGGCTGCAGGATGAGTCAAACATTCAGATTAAATTTACTTCATCATAGAAGATGCTGTAACTTCAGAAACACTGACACGTTGAATTAAGGACATTGAAATAATCGCTGGAAAAATGGAGATGTTCTACAACCTTCTCTGAGTCGTGTTTGTCTCGGAGGCAGAGCCACTCGTTTGGCAGAAACAGTCTCAGTGGTTGAATTCAATCTTAATGAGCTGATGCATGAATCATGACCATGGAATTGAGGATTCTGAATGGTTGACATGCTGCTAACAGATCAACTTCTGTTATTTCTTTGTGGATCGTTTTTTCTTTCCTCACGTTCTCCCTCTCATATCTGCTGCTTTATGCAATGAAATATGATTTACTTGTCACATCCAGAGAGTCAAACAGAAACAAAGAGTTCAACCAATGAGAAGATTTGTTGCTGTGAGAGGTTTGAAGAACGGATGTCATGTGGAAATAGAAGAGACGGTTTATACAGTCTGGGCATAAAAGAAATAGTTTACAGTCTGTCAAATTCAGTGCTGATGAATGACAACAGATGATACGATGCGAACACATGAAGCTCCAGTCAACCTCGCAGACCTGATGTTTTGGTTTCATTAGAGGACGAGAGGCTGTGGTTATCTCAGTCAAATGTGCTGTAACAGCTTCTCTAGCCTCCTCCTTCAGTTTCTCTCTCTGCAGCAGAAGCCTGCAGTGTCAGACCCTGCGTGGCCTGTCACATGCACAACTGTGCTCAGTGTCACATTCTCACTAAATGTTAAAACTCATTCTCATCCCTTTGTTTAGTTATAATTAAAAGTAACAGAGAAATATGTCGTCACCGTGTCGGGCAAGATAGAATTGTCTGGAAAATTGGGTTCTGACATTTTGCAGAGTTTGAAGAACGCAGCAGGAAATTGTTAAGGTCGTTGACGATGAGAAAATGTCTGGAACAAGGACGTAATGACACAATGAACCTGGCGTCGATCCTTAAAGCCAAAAGCTCTCGAAAGTCTTATTTCTACATCGACATCTTTGTCTGTGGATCCTCTTCATCATCCTGATATTTCTGGTTTGGGAGACACTGTGGTGCAGTAGTTAGTGCTGGTGCCTTGCAGCACAAGGTTTTTGTTTCTATGTGGAGTTTACTTGTTTTCTTTTTGTCTACGTGGTCTCCTGCAGTGCATAGACCTTCACACTGGGGTCAGGTTAATGGCTGGGGTACAACCTGGGGTACAGCAACAACAACTCTCACGCAGCTTGCATTGGCTCTAGCTCCCCTGTGCTCCTTGAAAGGAAAAGCGTTATAGAAAATGGATAGATGGATATTTGTATACCGCCAGTTTTGTGTCCGTCACTCACTCACTGTGAATTTCAGGTCGTTTTCCTGTTGTATTCTCACATGAGCTCATTCGGACATTTCACATGGGGGCTGCAGTAAAGGTTCCGGAAAATGTCCAACTGACTCGGACATTTGCCTCCTCGCATACAGAGCCTCGGGATAATTTCAGAAAAATGTCAGGACTTCGATGTGCGTCTGAAAGCAGCTATAAGGGGATTAGGATCCTGTTTCCAGATGTGATGACTTTTGAATTTTACAGTTTGCAGAGTGATGCATGTTCTTTCATTGTGTAACAGAAAGAAGAAAAAAACTGATGGGAATGAACCTTACCCATAGTTTTGGTTCCAACAAGCTTGTCTTCCAGTTGGTGCGACAAGGACACCAGAGAAAGTGCTAATGTTTACACGACATCACAGAATCATTACAGACACGTTCAGGAGAAACGCGTCAGATGCAGCGGTCAACAAACAAAAACTCTGGCATGGGATGATTTCTTCTGTTGTTTTGTCTTGTTTTTTTCCGACAGACTGTTTTGTCATGTGAATGCATCTTCTTTTTTCTTTTTTTTGCAATTGAGTTCACTTCTTGGGCCAAACTTGAATCGAGCTGCCAATCAAAATGATATATATTTTGAGATTATTGTCAACATGTCGGGATTCACTGCCCATTTTTAGTTTAGACTTGCACATTATGTCATTATCTCATGTCAGAAAGTTGATTTTACCTTTCGTTGTATATTTCACTCGTCAATATTTGTGATGAAATTCAGAAACAAATCGTTTGTGTGTGTGTGTGTCGGCCATTTGTAGAAAATAGAAATTTCTGAAAAAGAAAAAGATGAATATTTTCTGATCTGTTCAATGAGGAAGAGGGTGATGTTGCCTTGGTAACTGATGTAATAAAATGATACCGCGTGATGACCGCTTCCTCAGTTTCATCATCAGGCGAACGAAAAACACAAGACGAGGGGGAAAGATACATCCAGCTTTTTAAAAGTGAAATCAAGCAGGTCTGAGTGAGTCATTAGTTGATGCATGATTTACTTCACAGAAGAAGTGATTGAAACTTGTAATGTTGATGTTAGGATGATGTTAATGATATTTAAATCCAGTAACAACAAGGGATGTTTGTGAGGTTTGTGTTTAGTTTCATCAGACTCGTGACCACCGACATGTGGTCGGTGTGAAATTCATCACGCTGCCGTCGAGCTCCCTGCTCCACGTGAAATGTTGCAGGATTATTCCAGATGTGTATCTTTTTTTGAAACGTCCACAGCAGGTTCTTATGCAGAAGAAAAAAACCTAACACTGCAAAATGATCAATTCTTCAGACTTGTAAAGCACGCTCCATATAAACCATGTAGCATAAAAAGCTTCCCAGACTAAAATAAATAAAAACACCCACCCCTCCATGCGATATTAACAGGAAGTGAAGGAACACTGTTGTAAAATTAGAAACAGGAAAGGCAAGAAAACAAAGAAAGATGAAATGATAAAGATAAATCATTGAAATATTAAAATAGATGAGTGAAGGACAAAGACAAAAATAAAACCAGAATGTGGCTCAGTTGAGCTCAGACCTAAACCAAGGCCTAACAGACTATAAAACCACATTTAAATTCCATTTAAGTTTTTTAAAAATAAAAAATCCCTAAATATGATTTGTTTTTCATCAAGAAAATGTTGAAGAACAAAAAAAAAGAAAAAAGATTCCTGGATCCTCACAGAAATTAAATTGGCTCTTCCATTGGTCATGCCCCACCACTGCACAAAATGTCATGGAAATCAAAGAAAACAAAAGGACACAAACATCCCATGATAATAAAATGCTTGAAGAAAAGAAAGCAAAACCAGGGAGGAAAACTATTAGTGAAAACAATTCAGAGAAAGTAAATAAGTCAGTAAATTATATCAAATTAACCAAATGTAGGACTCAGTGGATAATATTAAAAAGGAGCTGCTGATACATGTCACCATCACCACACAGAGCAAACAGCTCAATGTGACACTTCTACTTGTTTTTCAAAGCAACATCTTGATCCACATGTTGAGATGTTTACATGTTCATGTGTGTGTGTGTTAGTGAGAGAATATTCACTACCTGCACCCGGGCGTGTTACGAGGGACTTTAAGGGTCGCAGGCAAAAGGAACACGGGGGCCCTACATAGAACCGAACTGAAAACAACACATGAGGCCAAACCCCATCATTCTAATCTTCAAAGTGTTCCTTTAAAATCAAAATTACGAACAAAGTGCAAACGTTGCGTGAACATAAACAACAGTAGTGTAAGTGCAAACCTCCACCATCATCACAGGCACCTCATGCACACATTCAGTCTTCTAGTCATCAACCAAACCTCTTACATTACAAAGCTTTTTGCAGAAAGCTGATAGCACGGGGCCTCACTAGGAGGTTTTTCGACCCCGGAGCTGATTTATTAATCAAGAGGGGGCCCACTACATCACTCTGGACTAATGCAATCAGCTGTTCTTGGGGGGCCCCACCTCAGCTTGAGTTAATTTTGCAACGCCCCTGCCTGCACCTTGACATATCTTCGCACATCACAGGATAAACAGTGATCGGGCTCAGGATTTATTGAAATAGATCAATAATATTCATTGCAGGTTTGCCTGCTTATTTCTCAGGAAATGTTAACGACCTAAGCTGCTTTACATGTTGATTTAATCCATTCTCAACAGTGTGATCCTGTATTTAGATGCTGTGAACATGAGGCTGCTGCGGTGCAGAAAGAGTTAAAGGCTTTGTTCTGCTGAGTCAGAGCAGCTGCCTGCAGAGCTGTGATAACACAGCTTTGTACTGCGGGGTAGAAAACAGGCCTACGGGCGGCAGACTGCCCTGACCCCGCCGTCGACACTGCATGAGTCAGCCGGCCTTTTACATAAACACCAAAAAAACAAGACAGTGTAACTTTCAGGAGAAGCAGAGAGTGGTGAGGGTGTTGTACTGTGACTGGGGGTGAAAACAAGAGCTTGGGCTTTGGTGAGATTGTAATTATTCTTGGTTTTTATACAGATTAATTGAGTGTAATGATTCTCCAAATCCGCTCTTTGGTCCACTCCTTATTTTTTTGCAATGGGTGGGAGAGAATAAACTTTCTAATGGTTATCATCAAACCTTTACCACAGACATGATCACTACATTGGACCAAACACATCCATAAGACAGATGAAAAAGAATAGAATATGTATAATGTGTAACATTAAGAGTTTCTCTAACTTTAAATAGAATCATGATTTGGGGATTTGGGGGGTTAGGGTGTAGCAGTTCCGTTGTCCTGTATCATGATATGTTAAGCTAACCAGCCCCTGGTGGTATCTTTTTATTTACAGTACATATAGTGGCATCATTTTGAAACTGTGGCACAGAAAACAAATTGTACATTTCCCAAAATGTCCAAGACATTGATTCAAGTGATTTTTGAGTGACGATATATTTTCTTCACAAAGTCTGTTCAAATGTCTGACGAGCAATGTGCAGGAGTGTATTGTAAAAGTAATTTACTTCTTCTAACATCTCTGAAGCTGCATATTTCTTACTCCCCATCCATAAAATTTCATTCCACCATTTCCTTCAACCCCTCTGTGTTCGTGCTGTGTGATTTCATTCTTGTTACTGGCGTGAGAGGCATTGGAAAATCATTTACTTGCTTCAAGGAACATGTGAACCGTCCTCTGAGCCATACCACGGTTCTCTGAGGTCAGGGGAACATTTCTCTTACAAAAACTAGCACAAACATATGATTGAACTATAACATGAAGTGATTTGGCAGGTTTTACAGACTGTTCTCTAGTTCCTGTCATATACAGATGTGGATTTCCCCTCCACACTTTCAGGCATCCTGAGTGCAGCCACCTCCGAGCCTCATGTGACCTACAGAAAACATCCAGGAGCAGCTACATTCACATATACGAACATATGCACATCACAACCCCTTCACCTTCATATCCACAGACCAGATGAGACCCGAGGTTCCGTGCAAAGACTGTCAGCAAAAGAAACAATAACAGATAAGTTACTTTTAAAATTCATTCACAACAGCTCTAATTTCTCACTTGTTACTGACATTTTCAGAGTAAAGTCTCAGTGAAGTGATTTTGAGCTCAAAGCATAAGACCAATAA